GGGTTTCAGGGTTTAGGGCTTTAGGGTTTTAGGGTTTTAGGGTTTAGGGTTTAGGGTCTGTTGAGAATCCCCCAAGGTTAAAGGAAGCTACTGCTTAAACTAAAGGAAACTACAGGTGGGAGTTTAGGGTTTAGGGTTTTAGGTTTTAGGGTTTTAGGGTTTCAGGGTTTTAGGTTGTAGGGGAGTTTAGGGAATATAGAGCTTCTATGAGGCTTCCATAAGGTATATAGACCTTCTATAAGGCTCCTATAACGGTAACTACCCACCTGAAAATGTCCTGGACAAGGGGACGTTGCAAGTAGGCTATAGCAGACTAAGGCTGCAAACAAGTCAAACTATCGAGATATCAAGGAGGCTACAAACAAAGGATTCTTACGGATTGCTGGCAAATCCGTATGGACGAAGTTGCTAAGTTCTCCGCTCGTTCTGACGCCACAGAGCTGCAAGCAATTACACCAAACCCTCAAACCCTATACCCTCAGCCCCAAATTTCAAGAAGTACTGAATCCCAAACACCACAAGCCCAACGCCCTAAACCACAATCCTCCCTAAACCCGAAACCCTAAACCCTAAAGCCCTAAACCCTGAACCCTAAACCCTAAACCCTTAAACCGAAATCCGGAACCATGAACCCTAAACCCCTACACCCCAAACCCGGAATCCGGAACCATGAACCCTAAACCCGAAGATCACCAGGTCACCAAACGCTAAACCCAACAACCCACGGCTGAGGAACCCGGAGAGCCCCACTTTACTTTCTCGAAGGGTTTAGGGTTTAGGGTTTTGGGGTGAGGGGTCTAGGGTTTAGGGTGGAGGGGTTTAGGGTTTAGGGTTTAGGGTTTTGGGGTTTGGGGTTTAGGGTTATAAAAAGCCCTAGCAGGAACTGTATGGGATATACTTACCCAAACCATACCAGTAATTTCGATTATAGAGGCCCTACTATAGTTACTTACGGCCCTGTGGCTTTATTTCAGGATATCGACACCCTCTTAAGCGTCAGGGAGTTTAAGGTCTAGGTGTTGAGGGGTTTAGGCTTTAGGAGTTGGGGTTTTAGGGTTTAGGGTTTCTGGGGGTTTAGGGTTGAGGGGTTTAGGGGCTATAGCGGGTGTAGGGTTTTAGTGCCCGACGACAACTCGGAACCAGAGACGTGGCGCTTTGCAGGACCGTGTAGCTGCATACATCCGGAGACGAACCTTGAGAGCGCGTTGCATGATGTTGCATGGTTCTTCGGATTTTGGGTGCATCGCAAGCAGACAAACTCGAAAACCCTAAACCCAAACCCTAAACCCTAAACCGACTAGTTCATGACGGCTTAAGGTTTAGGGTTTCTTGGGGTTGGGCTTAGTTATGAGGTCTAAACCCTGGGGTTCGAAATAGCTCAAAGGCCTTACCGGTTGCGTAGCCTGGTTTAAACGCAAGGGCCTTCAAACTCGCAGTTTGTGAAGCCCTGGCGCGAAGTTCCGGGGCTGGACTTGGAGACTCATTGGAGACCACACATTTTCGAGACTCTTTAGGGTTTAGGGTTTAGGGTTTAGGGTTTAGGATGTCGAGACTACGTAGACCGCACAGAAGTTGCTATCCTAGCACTGAGGAGGTTGATACTGGAGGGCGCTTCTAAAGCCATTTCTTGAATCTTAAACACGCTTAAAATTGAAGAAGCTTCTTAGGCTTCTGAAACCGTTTCGAACCGTAAGGAGCCGTAAACTTCTTTTACAAAACTGACACCCTGGGCACAAAACCCTTCGAACTCTAGAGCACACAACTTCTACACACACCTCTTAAGCCCCAAACCCTAACTCATAAATCCCAAACGCTAAACAATGCACCCTGAATGCTAAACAACAAACCCTAAACCCCAGGCGGTATATATATATATATACATGTATATATATATATAGATTTGTATTTATATTTATATTTACATTTATATTTATAGTTTATACATACACACACGCAGTGTCACACACACACACACATACTTACACTTACTTTGGCTCAGCACGAGTGCCTGCGACAAGCGACAGACGGGACAAGAAGATGGACAACAACAGAAGAGCAGAACATGAGATGCCGGTTGATTTTGGTGTAGGGTTTAGGGTTTAGGGTTTAGGGTTTATTTATAAGCATGCCAGACACCAGGAATGGGATGCTAAAACTCATGATCCGCTGGGGTAGGGTTCTGGCCTGGTGTGATTCAAGGAAATGGTTCACCAAATGAAATGAATGAATGAAGTGCATACCCTCGCTGGGACCCAGGGCGGACGCACACACACCTAAACCCTAAACCCTGACCCTAAACCCTAAAGCCTAAACCCTATAACCCTAAACCCTGAACCCTACCAACGTAAAATCCTAAACGCCCTACGACTCCACGTCTTCAGATCCCTTAGAGCCTGCGCTGAGCTCTTTAAAGGGGAAAGGGGCCTGGGCACCTGGGTTCGGAGCACCCCACCCTAAACCCTAAACCCTAAACCCTAAACCCAACCCCCCCCCCTCTCCCACCCCCCCTCCCCTGCTTCTTTGCGGGTTTAAGGAGTTTAGGAGTTTAGGGGTTTAGGGCTTTAGGGTTTAGGGGTTTAGGGGTTTGGGGGGTTCAGGGCTTTAGGGGGTTTAGGGCTTTGGGGCTTTAGGTGGTTTGGGCTTTAGGGGGTTTAGGGCTTTAGGGCTTTAGGGGTTTAGAGCCTCAGGGGGTTAGGGCTTTGAGGCTTTAGGCGGTTTGAGGCTTTTTGGGTATTGGGGTTTTCAGGGCTTAAGGGCTTTTGAGGGTTTAGGCTGATGGGTTTGATCCCCTTCCCAGCTCTATTTGGGAAGCGTTTCGGGCCCTCGGCTGTCTCGAGTTCTGCAAGGGTTTAGTGGAACCCAAAGACCCTCCAACCCTAGACCCTAAACCCTAACCCTGAACCCTAAACCCTAAACCTTAAACCCAAAGACCCTAAAGCCCTACATACCAGAACTCTAAATCCAAACCGGCCTCAAACCCCAAAGGTTTCTTGTGCTCCCGTTGGGGATTAGGGTCCCTAGACCCTAAACTAAATAAACTTCGAAACTCTAAACCCTAAACTCTAAACCCTAAACCCTAAGCTCTGAACCCTAAGCCCTAAGCCCTAAATCCTAAACCTAAGATTAGGTTTAAGGTTTATGGTTTAAGGCTTACAGTCCAGAGTTTAAGGCTTAGGTTTTAGGGCTTACGGTTTAGGGTTTAGAGTTCAGGTTTTGTAGGGTCCAGGGCTTACGGCTAGGGTAAGGTGCAGTGCCATCTTAGATGCCAGCCTCCTTGAGGTCAGCTCCTTTTGCAAGAGCCCAGTTGGGTTTAGGGTTTCGGGTTCAGGGTTGATGGTTTCAGACCCCCGAGAAATTCGGATGCAGGTCACGAGTTTATCGCTTAAGTTATTTAGGGCTTAGGGGTCAAGGGGCATTGGGTTTAGGGTGAAAGGGTTGAGTTTTAAGGTTTGCGGGTTAAGTGCTGTAGGGTTCCCCAAAACGTAAAACCCAAACCCTAAACCCTAAACCCTAAACCCAAACCCTAAGTTAAGTGCTGTAGGGTTTAAGGAAGAAGTGCGTGAGCCCGCTCTGGGATCCAGCGGTGGTTGGTGGCATTGTCGACCCCAAAGCCCTAAATACCCCTGGACCATCCGACGCGGCATGAGCCGGAACCTTAGGTTTAGGGTTTAGGGTGTAGCACGAGGAAACACCTAAATCTTCAACCCCGAAAAGCCTAAACTTCCATGTGAACACCTAGTTCACTTGAACCCTTAAACCTCAACCCTAAACCCTAAACCCTAAACCCTAAACCCTAAACCCTAAACCCTACACCCCAAACCATGCCTATAGTTCACTTGAAAGATCTTAAAGCTCGTAAGGATGGAACTTCCGGACCCTCGGAGCATTTGGGTTTAAGGTTTAGGGTTTAGGGTCTAGGGTTTAAGGCTAAGGGCTTTGGGCTTAGGGCTTAGGGTTTAGGGTTTAGGGTTTAGGGTCTCCTTTTGGGTTTAGGGTTTCGGGCCGCGCTGTCCCAACGAGGCGCCGGTGGATGCCGCCAATCTCCGAAAGCAGTACCGCAAGCCCGGTCCTGGGTTCAGGGTGCAGGGTTTAGGGTTTAGGGTTTAGGGTTTAGGGTTTGGGGTTTAGGGTTTATAGTTCCATTCTGCTAAGAAGTCTTACGGCTGTTATATTTTTCAATATATCTCTTACCAGAATATTCCGAAATCAACCAAAATTACAGTAGTATTCTTAAGAAGGATAACACTCGCACTGCTTTTATTCAGCGATGGGTGGAAAAGAGGGGCGGGGTAGGGAGTGGGGTTAGGGTTGAAGTGGTGTTTTAATGCCGACGGCCGGGGTCGCCTTCAGGGGTTTAGGGGTTTAGGCATTTAGGGGTTTAGGGGTTCAGGGGTTTAGGGATTTAGGGGTTTAGGGGTTTAGGTTGTTTAGGGGTTTAGGGGTTTTGGGGTTCAGGGGTTTCGGGATTTAGGGTTTGGGGGTTTGGGGTTTAGGGGTTTGGGGTTCAGGGGTTCAGGGGTTTAGGTGTTTAGGGTTTAGGGGTTTGGGGTGGCCTTTTTCTCCAAGTTTCAGGGGCGAGTTTTGGAAGAGCCTCTGCAGGTATGTCGGAAAGACAGTAGTTTGTTGACATCAAAGCAGAACTGTGCTGGAACATCGAGAAGCCGAATTGGAAGCACGACGGCCAAAACGCCGAATGCTAAATTGCCCATAGACCTTAAACTCTAAACCTCTAAACTGTAAACCTCTAAACCCTAAACCCAGTCACCCTAAACTCTAAACCCCGAAACCCTAAACCCATTCACCCTAAACTCTAAACCCCTACACCCTAAACCCATTGACCCTAAATTCCAAACCTCTAAACTCTAAACCCCTAAACCGTTTAAACCCATTGACCCTAAACTCCAAACCTTGGGAGAACGAACGCCCCTAAACCCTAAACCCTAAACCCTAAAACCCTAAACCCTAAACCCTAAACCCTAAACCCTAAACCCTAAACCGAGGTTGGCCCTGGCCGTGCACCCCGACAAGTGCGCGCACCCAGAGGCCGAGACTTGAATTGGCGACCCTGAACTCGGGTTTGGGGTTTCGGGTTTAGGATTTTAGGGGTTTGGGGGTTTAGGGTTTCAGGGTTTTCGGGTTTAGGGCTTTAGGGCTTGAGGTTTAGGGGTTTAGGGTTTAGGGTTTAGGGTTTAATGAACCTCGCCAGCCGACCTATATTCGAGGACTCCCTCGGGTTTTCGCTTTGGGGGGTTTTCGGGGTTTAGGGTTTTGGGGTTTAGGGTTTAGGGTTTTGGGGTTTTAGGGTTTTAGGGTTTTGGGGTTTGAGGGTTTTAGGGTGTTGGGGTTTTAGGGTTTAGGGTTTTGGGGTTTTAGGGTTTTAGGGTTTTAGGGTTTTGGGGTTTTAGGGTTTAGGGTTTTAAAAGTTTAGCGCAACCCTGAACCTTAGCGATAGATCGAATGACCAGAATCGGAAGCTCCTCTGAAAGCTCCTACTGAAGCACACAACTCCTTGGCAACCCGCCGGGAAGACATGGTGAGTCTTGAGACAAGGCCCTAGGCGAGAACCCAACAGAAATGTTTGCAGATGCTCTGTATTTGTGTACAAGCTGGTTCTGTTCTTCTTGTACTCCTGAATGGATGTTCCATCTGTTGGAGAGTCTTGCTTTGCGAAGCCCTACACCCACAGATCTAAACTTTACGCTAGAAAACTAAACATCCGAGTCCCAAAAGCCACAAGCCTCACACCTTAAATGGCCTGTCCCGAACGCTGAGCTCTAGAGTTCAACACGCAGGGGTTGTCTTGGCTGTCTCCTCCTCGTCGTACCGGCCTTCTCCGAGTCCGGATGGAGAGGGCTGCGGTAAAAAGGAGGTCAAAATTACCCCTAAACCCTAAACCCTAAACCCTAAACCCTAAACCCTAAACCCTAAACCCTAAAACCCGAAACCCTAAAACCTCCTAAAACCCTAAGCCCTAAAGCATCCTACCCTAGGCCCCAAAGCATCCTAAAACCCTAAGCCCTAAAGCCCCTAAGCCCGAAACCCTAAGCCCTGAAGCTCAAAAATACCACGGATCTCCAGGCCAAGGAGGCTTTCCAGAAGCTGAGCGAAGCTTTTGAGGTGTGCGGTTGCTGGCACTAGGGGCTTTAGAGTTTGAGGTTTAAGGATTGGGGTTTAGGGTTTTTCTAATTATTAAGGCCTCTACACTAATTTGGTTTAGGACCTAGGACAGGGCTTACGGTTTTAGGATTCAGGGTTTAGAGTTTAGGTTTTCATGGTTTTGAACTCAGGTATAAGGTTTAAATCAACAGTTTGAATTTCGGGTTCGTTTTCTTTGTTTAAGCTTTTGAGGTCACGGGCTCCAAGTCGAATGACGGCGACGAGGGGTTTGAGGTGGTTTTGAGCCATCCGGATTCAGACTGGGAAACCCGGTTGATTGATTTGTTCCTGAGGGTCAGGCGGAGAGATGTAAGGCTCCAAGCGCACTAGTTTGATGACGGGTCCAAACCAAACCCCCGAGATGTTTTGATCCACGGATAAACCCTAAGCCAACCCTAAACCGTAAGGATTTTCGATCGGATGGTGCCTGGCAACGCTGAGGTGTTGGCTGTTTGATGTATGTATGGTTCAGTTCGGCTCAGTCCGTGTCGCACCTTACCACCTTGCCCTAGACCCTACACCCTAAACCCTTGTCGCGCTTGTTTCTTTGCCCCGGCGATCTATTCGTAGCAACCGTGGAGATCTACGAAACGGGTCATGTGGCATACCCCGGTTTCGATAGTAAGGCGTGTGAAGCCCTGAACCTGTGGATTTGGCTAGTTTTTGCCAACGCACTATCAATAGGGTTTAGGGTTTAGGGTTTAGGGCTTAGGGTTTAGGGTTTTCGGCACCCAGCCAGACCCAGACGAGTGAGCCAGGTCCTGTGCACAGAGGCCGGGCAACGGCAAGCACTGGCAGAGAAAGGCCAGCGCACAGGAAAGCGACGGCGCTCAACTCAGGTGGGAACCGGGAAGCCCACACAAAGTCGTCAAACCCTAAACCCTAAACCCTAAATTAGGGTTTATAGAAGCCGGAATTACGGCCAAGATCCATACAATTCCGTCGGGATCCCGATTGAAACTGTGCTAGAGATAAGATGCCGGGAAGCCCGACGCCAATTCTGAAGGCACCCCCCAAACCCTAAACCCTAAGGCACCGATGTTATCTGCACAGGTGGGTCAGTCGCAGCAGTAGATGCTCGGTCTTCTTAACTTGCCCGAAGGCCCACACAGGCCCTCCCCAATTCTTAAGGTACTTAGTTTCAATACAACTAAGATCCTAGCCGCAAGAAGCGGACCCAAAAAAGGGCGCAGGGCACGACAGTCTAGGGATAGCGTGACACCTATCTGAGGCCTTGAAACTGTGAGCCTGGCCTCTGCTGTAAAATAGTGAAAGGCTTCAAGAATCAGAAGAGGGTTTCTTGGCAAAGCATCGTATTAGTAGTATGATAGAGACCCTATAACGGAATATAATTTTCAATGGGTCAAGCGCTTTGGGGTTCAGGTGTCTTGTTGTCTGTACTTCTCCGGCCTTTTTGGCAACTAAAAAACTAGAAGACCCTAAACCCTAAACCCTAAACCCTGAACCCTGAACCCTAAACCCTAAACCTTAAAGCATCCCCTTTCGCTGCAAGACCGAGCCTCAACAGTCAAAAGGCTTTGAGCCCCCGGGATGAAAATCTCGTTGAGTTATCTAGGTCTGGGTCAAAGAGAGGCTCGTGGACCCCCTTTTCCGACCCTAAACCCTAAACCCTAAACCCTAAACCCTAAACCCTAAACCCTAAACCCTAAACCCTAAACCCTAAACCCTAAACCCCAAGCCCTAAACCCTAAACCCTAGTTTAGCCGTCCAGGGCTTAGGGGGTAGGCGTTTGGGGCTTTCAACTGCCGATCGGAGCAGGATGCGAAGGAATCCAAGGCGCCCTGGTGGGACACCACCTGGGAGGACCCCTAAACCCTAAACCCAATGAGCCCCAAGTCCTAAATCCTACAAACCCCTAAACCCTAAACCCCATAAAACCTAAACCCTATAAGCCCCAAGCCCTAAGCACCTACACCCTACACCCTAAACACTATATCCTATAAGCTCTAAACCCTACAGAATGGCTGCATCGTTTTGCGTGGTATTTCGCGGATCTTTTCCTACAGTCAGCTTCTAGAGGTTGCACTTGTTTTCGGGGTTTCAGTGGTTTTAGGGTTCAGGGTTTAGGGTTTAGGGTTCAGTTGGTTTAGGGCTTTAGGTTTCAGGGTTTTAGGGTTGAGGGTTTTAGGGTTGGAGGGCATTGCTTTTGGGGGTTTAGGGCCTGTAAAGTTGAGGTCACGCGTGATTGCGCACGAACTTAGGAATATCCAGCTTGACAAGGAGGTTATGAGGGACCTCTCCGCTGTGATTACAACATTCACGTGCATACCTGTTGAATGGCCTACCGTAGTTCGTGACAGTTTATGCGACGTCCTATGGATCTGAGGGTGAACTTAGTTGCGTGAGTTCGGAAGCCTTCAGGATGTGGGATTCATGTTTGCATTTGTCGGAGTCCCTGCCCCGAAGTATAGTCGACGTGAGTGTCGACGTGTAAAGGTGCCCCATGAAAAATAGCGTTCGGATGAATTACGAACAGTCTCCCCTTCTGGTCAAGCCCAATCCGTGTTAGAATCACTGCGGCCCCTATATCTGTCGAGTTGAATCGGTTCGTTGCCCAAGCTGTGTGGGCTCTAGACTCTTGACCTTGAAGCGCCGCTAGCAAGGACCAAACTAGTTAATATAGGGGCCGAAATAATTATCTATACTATTTTGGGGGCTGCTTATTATAATTACAGTATAATGGGCCCCAAAACCCTATTCTAATTATTAAGTCCCGTATATTATCGGTTTAGGGCTTTAGGGGCTGGCTTTGGGGGTTGCTGCAGGAGTTCGAGAAGCGCTTCCGCCAGCGCGACGCCAACGAGGCTGCACGACAGGCGGAGTTCGAAGGCGGCATGAAGGCCTGCCTGGAGAAGGGTTCAGGGTTTAGGGTTTAGGGTTCAGGGTTTAGGGTTTAGGGGGAATATTTAGGTAACATTATCCCGCTACATTCCCTGTATCAGTGTAGTAGATATGTGCCAAAGCCCTACTCTAATGATCACGGCCCTTATATTGTGGCGGTTATCAGGCAGAAGACGGTGCCACTTTCTGCTGGTGGCTTCTGTCATGGTCTTGCTGATTCTCCAGCCAGTCTACCCCCTCTATACCGCAGATCCGATTCTTCTACAAACTTCTCCATATCCCAAATCCCAAATCCCTAAAACCCTAAACCCTAAACCGTAAACCCAAAACCCTAAATCCTAAGCCCTAAAATCCTAAACCCCTCGGTTCGTGCACTGCGTCGAAGTTGCAGTGGCCCAGGCTCAGCAGTCGCTTCGACAAATGAAGGCGCTTCGGCTGTGGGCATGTCTTCTCGTGCGAGGTTGGTTTAGGGTTTAGGGTTTGGGGTTTCTGCCGAAAGGTTTTTGAGCTCACTTCCGGTTTGCAGCTATAGAAATAGAAGCCTTGGTCGAGTGGGTTCCAGGGTTTGCGCATTGCGGGTATGGAAAAATGCAACGAAGGCTCCGCGTGTGGAGCTCCCAGTTGCGATTGAGCTATGAAGCGCCCTTCGAACATCAGGTTGACGAAGCTGTTCCTTATCCCAATGTAGGGTTTAGGGTTTAGGGTCCCAAAGCTCTGAAACCAAAGCCCAAAGCCTGAAACTTTGCATGCATGCAGCGATGAATGCGCCGCTCATGCGCCATCCCAAAAGGTCAAGGACAGCATAAGAATGGAGTCATACCGGGTCATACCTCCATGTAAGGCCCATGGAGCTCTAGTATAAGGGCCTGAGTAATTAGAATAGGTTTGGGGTATTATTATTCCGGAGGTGCAAAGTCCGAAGCGAACGTACCTCTAGCAAGGAATGAATTCAAGTTGGGGGCTCGACCACTGCCTAGTGTGCACTCACAAATGCTTTGCAGGAGTGGAGCAGTAATCTAGGCAGCAGGAGCAGGCAGGGCATGCAGGCACCCGTAACCCAGCGCCGCAAAAACTGTATGATGCCTGCCTCGCCCTACCACAAAACCAAACGGAGCGCAAGCAATGCAGCTCAAGTGCACTGCGAAGCGGGCGTACAAATGCGCAGGGTATTCCTCATGGGTATGCAGTGAGGCCATCCCTACGCAACTAACACAACAGCGTGACTATATACATACCCGAGATGCCGAACACCTTCTCCGAGGTGATATATGGGCATGCGTACAAAACGGTCAAAGCTTGAGCCTTGTTCCTCCTGGGGCAGAGAGAGGCAAACTGCAAGCTGTATGCCCCGCACGGCGTATCACAAGCCATGCCAACCTGATCATTCTACTGTAAAAGCCGTCACGCTCATGGTAATAAATAAAGCACCCTCTGCCTCATCGTACTGTTTGAGGACAGCTCTTAACCGACGTTTGTAACTTG